AATGAGGTCTGTGGTTGTTTTTGACATCTTATTAGAGATTCCAGCTCTTGAAAACATCCCTTTCAGAGGCCAATACATTAATTAATATTTTATATAAGTAATTAGTATACTTTAAGAAAAAACACTTTTATGTGCTTCTCAAATAAAATTTTTGTATACAGTTAGATGGTTTACAAACAATAATTACACATTTTCAAGAATATCTATTTCAGTATCCGTTTCCATTTGCTCTTTGTATGAGTTTCACATGGATTTTTAAACATGTAGTTGAATAGTGAAGAATGCTGTCTTCTGGGTTGTTGCACGATGTAGTCAGGTAGAAGTTTACCGATGTTTCAAAGGTCCTTGCTGCCGCCATCATCAGGGCAATGAGTCATTGCCGTGATGATGGAGACAGCCATCTTCAGACTCACTGGCGTGAAAACCTCAATTCCTACATAGTTGAGTGGTGTAGTACTGCACAATTAGCTGAGTGTGACTGCAGCATGTGCATTAAAAGGAAATATTTTGATACCATAACTCTGAGTTACATATTTGACCTTAGCATCAATGCTAGTCTCCTACCCTAGCAACTTGTCAACTAGCAAATATGGAGGTCTAAGTAAAGCATAGTCTTCACTTTCATTTTGCCACGGAACCTAGTGACATGTCTTGGAAGAGTCATTAACATTTATGTTTTTCTTCAAATTAGGAATTTAAGTGATGGTTGAAAGACACCTCTGTAGACAGAGAACAAAATCACATCGCATGGTATGGTAAGTGTTCAGTCGTCTCAGATCATTTATGAGTGGTATAAAGATGTATTATCCATACTGAAGATTAAGTGAATCACTTGAAGATATAGGCCTTGTAATCTTTGTTTTCTGACTAACTGAATTGAAAATAATCTTCTGGTAGTGGCACCTGGAGATTCAGGGCCACTGATGCCATTGGATGATCCAGTTCATCAACCTCCTCCTCTGTCTTCCAATATGTTTCCCCACCAAAATTCTTTACTGGTTCTTTGTTCTAAATGCCTAGCTTGTGATTGAGCTTCTAGGTGTTTGATATCAGTTTCCTTATATTCTGATGTGGTTTGTTCAGCCCACTTCATGCATTGACATTTGCTGCAACATGTAGTGTGATGGGCCTGTCCACTTTATACTGGGGTGTTAATGGACTTGCTGCTGCACTTGGAGCTGCCAACCTTATTCTTTACACCCTGGTGTATACACCTATGAAGCGGATCAGTATTATCAACACGTGGATTGGCTCTGTTGGTAAGAAGTAACACTTGTTTATCTAGGGTCTAAGTACATTAACTTTTTGAAAGGAAGTATGGAATTTCCTTTCAAAGTTCTTTACTTTGATAAGTTTTTTGAGTATTCATGAGTAATTTTCTCTCTATATCACATTCTGTTATCACCTGTACTTTGTAGGATTCTTGCTAATGCACATGCACCAACAGTGAACTTTCACTTATATTCAGTAATTTCCTCATTTGAATACTTACTTTTTGAAATAAGCCATTGCTGCTACCTCTCAGTCCTTATTAAATTACCCACAATTCATCTTTCCTATAACAGATTCTCGTTATATAGATTAAGACATTTAACATGAATATGTTAGACACTACTTGCAAACAGCATCATAATCTTAATACTCTTATTATTCAAGACTATATAACCAGTGCTGATGAAAAATCACCCATGGATTAATCTGATATGTGTAATGGCTGATAGAACCCAATATGGAAAAAGCTAATGAATTTTATTTATCATTCTAATAACCAGTTCAGCTGGCAATAATGTCAGCTTGAATCATTGTCAGAATGAGGATGCATATTCCACGACAATCTATGGCCCAGTGGTTTTGTGAAGAGTACCACAGTTACTTCCTATCACCATTCTTCCTGTTTCATCATTCAGTCATTCTCACATTTTATTTTATGGTACAAAATATCTGAAATTTATTCAGGGTCTTTAGATAATATTGATAATCAGTAGTCAGTATCAAAAACTCTACACAATTTCCAGAAAATTGTGCTCTCATGACCTTCCAAGGATGTTGTCAATATGTGGGCACATTCTTCATTTTCTGCAAGGGAAGTGTCTATGAGAAAGACAAGCAGCAATACCTGATTTGTTTTTTGTACTGTACACATGCTAGCTTTATTAGAATTGCTAGGGATATCAGCTGGTATAGATGCAATACAATAGAAAATTATTTCATATCATCACATTGAATTATTTATATTTATTTGAAGGAACCAAAAAATGAAAACTGTCCATTGCTAAAAATATGGAGGATGTTTTAGTTGGTTTTTAGAAAGGAGGAAATTTATAACCAACCACGAGAGTTACATAATGCAAGTAAAAGCAATGGATGTTTTTTGAACTTTAATTGTGTTGTTTAAAGTATTTAACAGGTTTTGATTAAAATTATAACTTGACATTTTAATTTATATGCAAATACAAAAATTTATGATGTAAAAAAGACAGCATGCAAAGCTGAATACTGAATTTAATTAGGTTCTTTATGGTTTAAAAAGCCATAAACTGATAATATAAGTGATATAAACATCTCTGATATCAGTATAGAATTCCATATTGACTGAAATCCCTAGAAAAATGCAGTATTAATATTAACAGTCAAAATGTTATCTTGTAACTTAAATGATGAGGAAAAAACAGTATTTTTATTTGTTAACAGTAGGAGCAATTCCTCCATTGATGGGATGGGCAGGCTGTGCTGGCACACTGGACCTTGGAGCATGGATATTGCCTGGTGTTTTGTATGCCTGGCAGTTCCCACACTTCAATGCTCTCTCCTGGAATTTACGTTCTGATTATTCCCGGGCGGGATATCGGATGATGTCTGTTACAAATCCAGGTCTTTGTCGGCAAACAGCACTTCGTTATACTGGGGCATTATTGGTGGTGTCATGCCTAGCACCTGTTTTAGAAGTGACCACATGGCTCTTTGTAGCAGGATCAGTTCCACTCAATGTTTACTTTGTGTACTTAGGTAAGATCATCATCAGAACATCTCATAAGTTTCCAACACTTAGTGTACAGATTTAAACAATGGCTTCAGAAAAATATGTCAGGAATCACATATTTTCAGGAGGCAACTGTTTTAAATAATTTGTTGCTGTGATGAAACTTTTTAGTAACACACTCCTGCTTTGTTATACTTGTAATTTACATTAGAATAACAGCATTATTTCTATAGCAACCTTTTAAACAACGTGAAAAAATCAAGTAAGAAATTAAGGATAGTAGGATTTCAGGTTCTCATAGTGTTATGAATATGGCTGTCTTCTGGTTTGTAGCACTGTGTGGTCTGGTAGAAGTCTACCGATGTTTCAGAAGTTCTTGCTGCCGCCAGTTACCTCTGAAACACTGGTTGACTTTTACCAGACCACATGAAGGTAGAAGGATGTATACATAATATATGAGATCCAGCTGACAAATATATACAACAAACTTTATGAAAAGGATTATAGTGCAAAGACAAGGGAATTACAACTGTCCATGATATAATAAATTACTTTTCCACCTCTGCATCAGGCCAGTTTATTGGGTTGACCAGTGTAATAAGATGGAAGCATTGGTCCCTTATTATTGTAATGCATTGTTTCAAAATTCAAAGACATGCCATTGTTGAGAAACATATGATGACCTCAGATCTCATTAATGCAAGAACTGACTAAGGTGCAATAATAGCCTTGGAACTGTAAGATTTCTCTATGGATCACAATGCAACACATTAGTGCAAGAACAACGTAACATAGGATATTCAAAAGTATGATTTTGAGGTCATGCAGAATAGCACAACCTCCACATCAAACTTTATCCAAATTCATGAAGTAGTTCGCGAGTTGGATGGACAGACAGACACGACCAGCCCATAATGAATTCTTGTGATGCACTTCATGCAAATAATGTGTAATAAGCGTGTTTAAACATACTAATAGGAAATTATGTTATGGACTTTTATTTGTATTGTACAGTATGAGTCACTAGTACTGCTTATGTTGAAAGTCCATTGATATATGGTGTGAGTGTACAGTTGTTATTATCAAAAGGCATTGTTGTGTATAATGTTATGAGAGGCAGATTCACTCCTTTGCAGCTTGGCAGTTCTTTCAGCAGCCAGACAGTCGTAGCTCACGTAGGCTGTTCCGCTTCTCACTGATCCATCTGCCACTGCTCATGGTTATGTTGCTGCTCACTAAGAAACATAAAACAGAAGAGGTGAAGACCAGGTAAATACACCCTTGATGCAGACATTCACTGCTGATGGTAACCACATAAATATTATGACATCGATGCCTGTCATCTAATGACTACTGCTGTGTCTCTATGTCTACCCTGATTTATTGTGAATAAATCAGTTTACAGAATCTGCACACAAGGCAACTATCCTACTGCATTTTCTAGGTCTCTGTCTCTACACGTCACACACACACCCTCTCTTCACTCACACTAACTGTCCTTTGAGCCATTCTGGTCCCCCAAACTTAATGCTCTCCACTCACACACACACACACACACTGAACTCATCCCGCAGCACCCCCACTGGACACATGCTGGCTCCTTGGCCGCTCCCATCCCCGAAACCCGGTGCTCCACACTCGCAACCTTCGGCTCTCTCAGCACCCCTCTGGACACACGCTGCCTCCTTAGCTGCCAAGGTCCACGAACCCAGTTCTCTTCACACACACGTGCGCTCACGATCCTCTCTCAGCCCTCAGCGCCACACCAGTCTGCTCAATGGCTCTGTACTCTCTTCACATTCTAACGCACTCTTCCACCAGAGACCCCGCACAAAACTCGCCAGACTACTCGTAAGACTACCACCACAACTCTTGCTCTATTGTTCCATTCTTTCCACACTAGAGAGATGACTCTCCAACAATTGGGGAGGCGACCTTTTATATTTGTTGGCCCAGTTGCAAAATGTTCCAGAAGCAAGGATCTTGAAGGTACACTTACTCAAAGGTTCTGGTAAGGAGGGGGATGTGCCATCTGGAACATTCCGTGGCGGCCACACCTACAGCCGACATCCACTAGGTAGGGAGGGGAGTCAGGTGGCCCCTACCCCTCCAGTGTGAGCCTTCCGCTCTTACGGTGCCACGTCACAATATCAAATTATAACATTGCTGTTAACTTAACTTGAGATGCCTATATGTGCGTGATACCACAATTTCCATGCTCCATTGTAGAGTTTAAAGACTTTTTCCAGAATATAAACCACATATCATATTTGTCTAAATGGAAGACAGTCCCCCACTAAGAAACATGTCTGGACAGAAGAAAGGAGTGTGTTATGACAACAGTTCACAACATTCAGAAGAAATTTTTTTAATAATGAATACTTGTTTAAGCAATTCAGCATTTGGAAGGTAAAATTGTCTGTAGAATCAAACAGCAAGTATTTATTTCATATTACCGTATATACTGCAATAATTTTAATTAAATTTGAATTTATTGTGAAAACTAACAGTTTATATATGACTTCCAAAAGAAAGAAATTTGTGCTAGTTTAATAACTGTGAAAATCCATACTTTAAAGTTTTAGTGTGAACCTTTGAAAAAAACATGTACAAACAAACACTGTACCAGAACTTTTCACTATAACTAAAACTAAGTATGTATCTGGGTAAATACACAGTGTTTAATAATTGTTCACTGAATTTCAGTGTTCTTTTCTTGTATCCCAAATCTTGAATGTAGTATTAAATGTATTGCTACAATGTAGTAGACCTATTCTGAATGTCATTGTGTCATGCTATGTCACATGTTAGCATTCTTATGTAAAGTTTGTCCTTTTCATGTTAACAACATAATTTTTACAGCTGGTATCTGAGTGTGGGAACTGTTTGTTTGCAGGTTGGAAATGTACCCACAGTGATGGGTTTGGTTGCAGGTCAGTCCAAACCACTATTTATGAGGTGAAGAAACTAGTCTTATCTGCAGTGAATAATTGAAATGATGTACACAGTTCATTACCTGCCTCTGGAGTTCTTTGTACATTTCCATAGTTTTATCAACTTGTAATTATTTAGGTGTTTTCAAAATACAGATTCCTAGTAATTTGAAGCTTGCTTTCATTTCTTTATATCACTGTCTGTGCACTTCTAATAAAGATAACATTTTCCCTGTGCTGAAGCATGAAAACATACAGAGGACCTTAAGGTACAGTAAACCTTTATTGATTTCATAATGCTGTATAATTGTCAATCCTTATCTAAAAACATGTGAGTTAAGTCAAAGACAGGTGATAAAACTGACTGTAGTAATTGTCAAGGAATATCACTGTTTCACTTGTGTAGAAACTGTTATCCATCATTCTGCTCTTTATACATAGGCTAAATTACTTAGGATCACCAGAATTTGATTGCCTGCTGATCAGATATGCATTTGTCAGATACTGGACAAAAATGGGAGGACACTGTATAATATAACTCAAGTGATGAAAATTTTATAAGTTCAAAACCTAAAATGATGTAAGTGTACAGCTTGCATAATTCCAATTATTTGTAATGTCCTTGTAATTTTGCATGTGTGGCTTTTCCGTACCATAAATTAACTACAGATACTTCTACAAGATGTCAAAAAGCAGATACCAATATCTGCCTTATTTGAAGAAAGGCATTAACAAAAATTAATCACTTCCAAGACCCATGGCAAAAGAAAGGTGATGATTATTTGGATGGCATTCCATATTCTCTGGTAGGGTAGGGGGATAGCATTGATTTTAAGCCTGATGACTCGACCCCAGTAATGATTTTGTTTGGAAAATCGTTGCAGGCATCCAGTCGTCTGAATTCCTCATCGTGCAAAAAGTGCCAGAAACGTTGCAATTTTTTTCTTACCCAAGTCCGTAGTAATTATGGACCTTGTCGCTTCCGTATTCACATTTAGTTACTTTCCATCATTCTGAATGTCAATCGTCGGTTTCTTCCGACTGAGGGGTTATCCGCATCAGCTAACTTCGAGTCGAAGTTCTCAGTCAGTGCTCTGATGTGGTCGGCGAAGGTTGGAATTCTTAATCCTCGTGGATTTGCCTGTTATTAACGCACCAAGGAGAGGGCCAAGCATGCCCAATCGTTGTGCTGTCTTCTTCCCTACTTGGCTGAAGTGCGCCGACCAGGTAAACCCGGTGTCAAGGGTCACCCCAAGATACCGCGCTGTTTCGACCCAGATGTATCGGCTCTGCGAGAAACTGCATTACTCTGGGCTTTTGGATGCATCTTGCGACCTTAACGAAGAGCACAGCGATGCTCTTCGAGACGTTCATTGCAATCCTCCAAGCCCATAGTCAGAGCTCTAGTCTACCGAGATAAGCCTTCGGATAACAGACGACAAGCGATGGACTACGGGACGTGGCTATAAGAGTCGTGTCATCCGCGTAATGCGCTAGCTAGCTCTCGTTCACATACAAACTGAAGAGCTCTGGGGAGACAAGTCCACTCTGAGCCACTCCAGCTCGCATACTACTCTGTGTGGATGTGGCTGACTGGAAGGGTGTTTGAAACGTTCGGCAGTCTTACGTATTATGAAATAGTTTTCACCAGGCAGGACGAGAAGTTCAGGATGGCTAGCTTATAAAGGCGGCCTGCGTTAAAGTCTTTGGCTACATCCAGGAAAACCGCGTCGGTTAGCTAACTCTCATCAAAGTTTCTGTTGACTCTATCAACTAGGTGGGCCACCAACAACGTTGAGCTGTATCTGGGTCGGAACTCAAACTGTTCGTCACGCAAAAGCTCGTCCCTGATATTTTCTAATCATCCTCATAATTGAAAACTAAAAGGATAGCCAACACAAATGAAAATATTACTACATAGTTGCTAAGAGGAACCTGACACTCCTGCACATGTCTAGTCACAGATAAAACCACAGACATAATATCATCTTTCCCACCTGCATCATAGTATCTTCCACCATACCCAGTAAAATTCAGTGCTTTTATTTTTCTTGTGTTGTCAGTATCGATAGTGAAATCGAAACGTTAGCGCGTAAAACTGGTGTTAATGTGAGTTAGTGGGTTGAATTAAGAAATTCAGTTTAATTTTATTACTGCACAATGAAAGATTGTGATTTCAATCCAGAATCATTACCAGATCTTCTGCCACTTTACTATAAGAGACTTTTTCCATATGGCCCATATTACAGATGGCTGAGTTACGGAAATGGTAGGTAAATTTGTTGCATGCTGTTATAATTTTTGTATTATATGATGTGTAAGTCACATTTCTCTGAATTAATTCATAATTCATATATACTACAGTAGAATCTGTCGAAAGTGACCACTCTCCGGAAGTTAGTGGTCATTATACAGAAACTATCTTTTAGAACTTGCAGTTCAGATGCTCAGCAAGTGAATTATGAAGTTAACTATTTAGAAGAATTGTGTATTTTTCTAATTATAAAACAATATTTTTTATTTACTTTGAAAATTCAGTTTTGGACTGGAAATTATCGGAATTTGCTACATCAAAAATTAATAGAAGCGTTTGTACGGCACCGTAATATTTTTTATAATGCCCTAGTCAAATGACTGTAAGACTAAAATGACATTAGGCAGAAGAAATTTTGCTGTCACCATTGACAAGTTTTTAACGTTATGGTGAGCTCAACAATTATCCACAATCATTAAAATCTTTTATTTTGTGTTTTTCGTCACTATATTAATGATATTCACCCACTCAATTAACATCTCACAGGTTATTCATGCCACTTTATTAACACTTGAGATAGCTGACACTTTTTACATTGACATTCTTAAAATATCTTGTTTTATTTTTCTTTACCAGTCACAAATGGTGGTAGCTTCTTACCTGTAACACTTGCTGCTAATAAAATTAATCTCTCCATAGAGTTTCTGCTGCTTTTTCATTTGTCTCCTTTTGTTGTTAGTGTCTTATCGGCATTGCTAAAATGAGGTGTCCACACTCATTGAAAACGCCCTTACCTTCAAAGCCTGAAGTCATGTATTTTAATTTTTATTGGAAGGAGTTTATTATATCTTGTGAAACATTATTTGATTCCCCACTCAAAGTTTTTCCTGAAATTAAAGCCCTCTTCTTAAAACTGCCTAGCCATCCACTTGTTAGTTGAAAATCTGGAATTTCAAATTCTTCAGACTGATCACATTACACAGTACATAAGTCATCATATCAGTGAGGTTAGATTTGTCAGATGCAGTGTTTTAACGTGCTCAGTACTATCATGTTGCTTTAGTTGTAGTTACAATTACTCTGATCATTATATTTACAATTATCTTTTGAGTTATTGAGCTTAGTTTATCTGCCTGTGCATTGCATGTTATGCGCTATCCAGCTTTACTTGCATCTCACTATCCCACTAGCATACTGCTAACCATGGACTTAAAGTCCATCTGGCAGCCTTGTACTGTAGGGGTTTAAATCAACTTTTCCCATATGATAAAGGTTAAACCTAGGCAAGTGATACAGCATTGAATACTGCATTTCATCTTTAAAATTAGATCTCTAACTCAATTTGGGTTACAATTAAATTATAGCAGTTTTCACAACCTGGTTCTTGCAAAGAAACCTAGTTATAAATATTGAGTTCCAATTACAAAAGGACTAAAAGGCTTAGATTGGCCCTTTCACACATTTCTCTAGGATCATCATTGTTTGAATCTGAATGGGTCAGATTTTGAGCTGTGTTGATTTAACATCAAACCAGTACATTTATTCATTCAAGCCACCAGATTTATTGTTTTTCTTGTGGTTTGCTTTTATTGCCAGTGAGAAGTCACTACTTTGATCACCGTGAGTTTTCTTTTACATTGGCTGATGATATTTATATTAGATACCAGTCTTTTGCAAATCAAGAGGAACTGGAGAGTGAAATACGCAAACGAAACCCACACAAGATTGACATTGGAGCTATTTATTCTCACAGGTGAGATAACTTGGTTCAAACTGATGTACAGGGAGAATACTAGAAAATGTTTTTATTGCTGTAAGAAACCTAATCTTTCAGTATGCTTCTTGATCAGAATGGTGTATATCAGGTCTAGTAATATAAAATCTATTAATATTTATATGTGGCCAACATATTATGTTCAAACATGACTCTGTTAGTAACCAAAGAGTTCAACACATGAGTTGTGTATCTCAGACAGTTAAAATGATGATAAATCAACCATAGTCATTGACCTTTACAGAATTATTGTGTACTGAATGTGTCAGTCTGTAAACTCCAAGATTACTCTAAATTTTATTAGTTAACAGGCACAGTTTTTTATAGAGGAACTTGTCAGATGTAGCTTGTTGGCACAGGATTAGTTTATCTGATTAAAATTCAGGGTCTGACTAGTATTAAAAACATTTCAATTTGTCTACAAATTGGGTATTGTGAACAAATATGAGGAAATGATTTTGTGTTACAGAGTTTGAGCTACTAAAAAAATCTAGTAGAAAGTTGGGCCTAGAAATAAATTCAGAAAAAAACTAAGTACCTGTTAGCATCCTGTCAGCAGATAGGCCGGCAAAATCTTATTAGGGTGGCCAGTGCTTTCTTTGAAGGTGTGACAAGGTTAAAATATTTGGGACCAACAATAACAAATCAAAATGATATTCACGAGGAAATTAGGAGGAAACTAAATTTTAGAAATGCTTGTTACTTTCCACTTCAAAATATTTTGTCTTCTCATCTGATTTTTTAAGAACCTAAAGATTAAAATATACAAAACAATAATTTTGTCTGTTGTTTTATATGGGCGCAAAACATGGTCTCTCACTCTGAGGGAGGAACATAGATTGCAGGTGTTTGAGAATAGCATGTTGAGGATATTTGGGCCTAGGAGAGAAGAGTATGGAGAAAACTGCATAATGATGAGCTTAAAAATTTATACTCCTCCTCCAATATTGTCAGGGTGATTAAGTCAAGAAGAATGACATGGGCTGAGCATGTGGCATGCATGGATGGGGCAAGAAGTGTGCACTGAGTGTTGGTCAGGAAGCCTGAAGGGAAGAAACCACTGAGGAGACCTAGACGTAGATGGTAGGATAAACTCAAGCGGGATCTATGGGAGATAAGAGTAGAAGGCAACTAGATTTTGCTGGCCCAGGACAGGGACCAGTGAGGGCTTTGGTTAATTCGGTGATGAACCTTTGGGTTTGTGATCAAACCTCTTGCTTAAGTCAGAAGTTTTGTTCATGGCTGAAGTTATTTTGTATGAATGAAATGGAGCATTTCCTTCAAAACCAGTTATTGTAGTCAATAGTGGACTGTCTCATGTGAGTAAAGTGCATTTCATATCTTTGGGGACTTACGTGAAAATCAACATCTGCATCCTTAATGAAATACAATAAAGGTTTATGCTACACTTGCCAGAAACTATTTAATATGGCATTTTTCTCAGCATGCATATACAGAATTTTATCCCATTCCTGGAGCTATGATTTTTGTTACCAGTTTCAGTTTTGTTCATTTTGTTCTTAAATCCTTGCCTTCATATTCTTCAATATCTTGTGTATTGTAATAGTCTCCAAAATTTTGCTCATGTGAATTTATCGTCATATGTAATGCTGTAAGTTTCTTATTTTAATATTGGGAAGTTGCAACTTCATTGGCATGGCAGGAAAATTTTTCAGTGAAGTGGTAAGAAATGCTAAGGTACTGTTGTGTTTTTAATCTTCTATGCACTCTTTATCATTTCACATATTGTGGGCAGGCACAGACATAGAATGCAACCCATGTTTCAACTTTTGTTCTTATTTGCTTTGGTGTAATAGGTAAAAGAGGACATGCCTTTGCTCCTGCCTCTTAGTCAAGAGTATTTGCTTCTACTCAAAACTCATGCTGCAATTTATTGCTCAGTTTTCATTTGTATGGCCCATTGGCTATTTTTATAGTGATTGTAGTTATTTAATGTTGGGAAGTTTCACAAAATTTAAATCTTATTTGTGATGGACTAACCTCCCATCCAAAGAGCCCTAAAAGTGTCAATTCATTATAGTTAAAGAAGAACATAATGATATTAATTTTTTCGAATGATTAGTATCGTATTTTATGAAAGTAGATGTTATTGAACATTTTTCAGGCCAAAGGAACATCGAACTCTTCCAACCTTTCATCCCCTTGAGAAGGAACTTGTGTTTGACATTGACATGACTGATTATGATGATGTTCGCTCATGCTGCAGTGGTGCTGATGTGTGTGTTAAATGCTGGCGTTTCATGGCTGTTGCTTGCAAAGTGTTGGATATGGCATTGAGAGGTCTGGTATAAAAAGAAGTACATGATCCCTCTGTATTTGTTAGATAATAATATTATTCACATAATACATGAACTAAATATGTAAGACTTAGTGCAGATTCAAATTTGCATTTCATTTAGTGTACATTTAAATACTGTCCACTTTCTCTCCCCCACGACCTTAAAATTCTCTTTTTGTGAATGTTGTGGTTTGGAATTTCTTATAACTAAGAGGTAGAACTAAACCTAGTTTTTGTTATGTCTTTCCCTTTAAAATAAGAATCCAATTCTGAAGATGTGATGACTACTTGTCATCACACATGACAGGACAACCAGTGCATCTTTCTTTTGGTGAGACCATCACCTGAAGTGATGAGATCAAGCACATGGGTGCCAATCCGAGATAAGTCAAACATTTATACACATGGATGCCAGTCTTAGACAGCATTTACCGTAAAACACAACTATAACAGTCTAGAACATCCACCGTAATTTAAACACCTCTCAAGATGTAAATGAAGTAATGGTTATGTTAAGAACAGAATAATGCTAGGTTTTTATAATTTTAATCTTCTAGTCTACTGCTGGCACTATAAATGAAACTTTTGTTTGTTGTGCTATTGAGTTATAATTGTTTAGAAATGTCAGTTACTTGGAGAAAAGAGTTTATATTGAAACTCATTGTGCAAATAAATATGTATATACCTTTTTAGGAAATTTTGGTGGCAGTTCAAAATATGTTTAGCCTTGCTTTGTAGCTGCATTATAAGTATTTATTGTTATAACAGGATTTCACTCTGTAGGTAATGCATAATCAGAGTATTTAGTGGTTAGCACATATACTTCATATTTAGTATATACGTGACACAAATTTTTGGGTACCTGACCAACTATCATGTGATTTCCTCCCTCACCTAGACTGTCTAGTTGTATGTGAGAACAGCACCTTATTATAGGCATAACCAACTTACTCTTTGTCATTAAAGGCTGTATTCTTGTAGATTAAACACCTTTATTAAATAACAGGTCAACTTGGTTATGATGAACTTTCTGAAATGAACCAGATATGAGATTACAAAAGTAAAAGCAAAATTTATTTTTATATTATGGTTGTAATGAACATTTTTATATGCATATTTAAAAAATTAATGTCGCTTATAGTATTTTTCAGCGGAATTGGCGACTGAGTTTTTTGCACAGTGTTGTAACCATTCACTGGAAACCAATGTTCCACGATGCTACATCTGGCACCACTCTATATTGTTTCCTCACTATCTCGCCTCCCACCACTACTTCCTACCATGCACAGTACATGTGATTGGTGCACGCTTCAGCCGCAAATTCCGCTGAAAACTGTTATAGTGAATATTGGCAGAAATGGATGGTAGACACTGTATCATATGAAGCATGTGCATACCAGGCACCAGTCATAACCTGTGCACTTTTACAGGTGGTTGAGTGTTCTCTCAGATAAAGTGGTCTTCAGACAATTAGAAATAGAAATCATCATGGCTACATGAATTTTTGGACTGATTTTGTTATGTGTGTGGTCAATTTACAGCAAAATCCCAATGTTGGTCTATAATGAAAACAGTAAAACATTCCTACAACCAATCTGAAGAGGTGTTCCCTCATGTGACAATGTCTTGATAGTAGTTCTGTCACATTTTGTTTGGAGCCTGCAGAGCCTCAAGAGTTGAGTAATTTTTTGGCACAGGGCTCATCTAGGAAGCCCTGTGCATGTCTTTGTCCTATGATGGACTTTCATTGTTTATGGTGTTCCCTGCAAACCCAGAACCTGATAGCCTGCCTTCCTGCACTTTCAGAGATGCTGCAGGAAGGTTCAGGTTCTATAAATGGGTACAGGGAGCTTATTCTGGTTAGCCAGTTTGCAATTTCATTGCTGCCAGTTCCCTATGTCCCAGCATCCACATCAGATATACTTTGTTGCGTACAGCTAGTGTCATAAGGGATTAATGGGAACCCCAGACCAACCTTCGGTAAATTTTACAGTTGCCAAGTGCTTTGATTGCTCTTTGACTATCTGAAAGAATATAGGTGTTTCTTTTGCAGTAGTTCCTTCTAATATTCTCATCAGCACTTGCTTTGATAGCTTATACTTCAACCCAGAATCTGGCCATTACTTAGTGACATATTTTTAAGGGGATCATATCAGTAGTTAAGGCATAGTTTGTTATTGATAGGACACCATTTAATACTGAGAGGTCATTAGTATAATGTTACTGTTCTGTATGTGCATGCTGCAAATGAGGATAAATGACTGCTTTATCTTTAATTAGAACATGTATTTGATAAATTCCCTATGTACCATGTAAAAATTTTGCTAGGAGATTTCATGCCAAGGTAGAAAGGGAGGATATTTTCAAATTGACAATCAGGAATGACAGTTTACATTAAAGTAGTAATGATAATGGGTTTACAGCAGTAAACATTGCCACATCAAAAATATAATTGTCAACAAGACCACAATGTTCCAACATAAACTCATAAATACACTTGGACTACTGATGGGAAGACACACAATCAGATGAACACATCTTGATAACAATCAAGTGTACTTGATATCCAATCTCATAGGATGGCCAGATTTGAAATTGGCCACTATTTGATGGTTTGAAAACTCTGGGAGACGTTGTTGGTAAGTAAATGGGCAACACAAACATTAATATACAGAGATTTGGTCTCAGGAAGCCAAATGCAAATTCAATATTAGAAGATTGTGTCATTTATCTTAGACAACTTTAGTTTCCAACTATACATATCATGTGGATTTAAATATTGTTTAAGTACTTTAAATCAATATTGTTATGTTGTAAGGCATATTTGTTGTGTGGTAGCATAGTGGACTTATATTGAATCCTGTTCAAGTCAGTTTTTTTATGTGGCTTCCATATTGTCATTTTACAATATAAAAATATTTGGTTTCCAGTAAGTCCTGTATTTTTCAGAAATCTAAAACCATGTATTACTGCATGGTCTTATTGCAAGTGGTGTTAGTGTCTGTTCCATCTTGTAAGTTTGTTCATCTGCCGTGTTAATTTTACCAAGTGTAGGAAATTGAAAAGCATGGTGTTAGGATAGTTCCCAGGGCATAACATCCATACAAAATTTCTGTCAAATCCATGTAATGGTTCTCAAGTTGAATCATGCAGGCAGGCAGACGTGACTCGCCCTATTTGTTCATTTCATAGGTATCGTGCAAAGAATGCATAACAATGCAAGGCACAAGGAACAATATCAGGTCAAAATCTGAAACAGATTTACAGAGTTTAAAAACTTGCATGATATGTGGGCAACAGTAGAGCTTGGGAAAATGTTGGAGAGAATATCAGAATTTTAGTCAAAGTTATGAGTTAAAACAGAATAAACCATCTTCTACTATGCTTTGTACTTTCAATATTTCCTTTATATCAGCATTTCTGTAAGAATCTCATCTGTGCTGCTTCAAAACATTGCTTCTCTCTTCTGTTCAACACCTTGTCTTGCTTACATATTTGAGGGCAGTCTTTGCTGTTATGTTGTGTACTTTTAATTTTGTTTGATTAGACATTTGTTTACCAATATTTTATTTTATTTTTCCAGTAGTCTCATAGACTTAGTATTTGTGAACTGTGGGTCCCTTAAAAGACAGGGAATTTCTTGACTAGCCGAGTGTGCTATTGGTTGCTCATGAAGAACTGTACTTGATGGAATTAGTTATATCATAATATGAATTGTTTGTGAATGTAAGTTTATTCTCATATAAATATCATTATTTAAAATTATGTAATAAGTTGTATGTACATCTGCATAAAAATAAAAAATGAGGATAACAAACAAACTAGCTGTGTATTTTACAACTTTCTAGCTGTTTTGATCAGTATACGTGATTTAATCAAAAGCAACTTATTTCTTATATGGTACCAGAAAATATGGACATTGGTTGTGTGGCAGGCCTGTTCATGGCTTGTTTTGTCATTGTGTACAACATTAACTGTTTCACAAAAATGTTTTGTTTATGTTCACACCAACATTTTACATCCAGAGGACTTTGGATATGAACACTTGCTGTGGGTGTTTTCTGGACGACGAGGTGTCCATTGTTGGGTGTGTGATGAAGGAGCTTGCAAGTTGGATGTTGCTGCACGATCAGTTGTTGCAGAATATTTGCAGCTTGTTACTGGTGGAGAAAACCAATCAAAGAAAGTTATTTTGTCAGGAGATAAATTACACACATCAATTAAGTAAGTATTAACCTCTTGTAGTGAATGTTCATATCCATCAGATATACAGAATTTCCCAAAACAATGTATACACAGTATAATGATAACCTTGTCATCGATCTCCATGTGTTGTGTTTATCAGGGGAAAGTGTAGTCTTCTTTTTGGACACCTGTATTAACAAGCCACAGTACCAAGGAATTGTCTGCTTTAGAATGATTTTGCATGCACAATGCCTAACTCTTGCAGTATTATTTATTTTTGTAAAAACTAAACAGACTTTTTCTAGGTGAATAAATGTCCATTGAATTCAATTTTGGCCATGCAATCCATGAATCTTAAGTCATTCATTTTCCTCTTTCCTTAAAAATGTCTTATCATGGTGTGTAACATAAAATGTGGTCCACACTGAGATTGACAAAGCTTATTTGAAACATAAATAGAGCAATGACATTTATATTCACAACAGAAGTACATGTGGCAAACGAATATGAATAATGGGATCATCCAAAAATCATAAAGGAAATGATAAATAAATAATTATTCAAAATTATAAAATCGAGATCGACCACGAAGAAGATGGAAAGATCAATTTGAAGCTGGAACAGGCATTAGTGCCTGATCCCTGATAATGATGATGATTATAAAAATGCAAACTTCAGAAGACTAAGAGTATGGAATTATAACTCACGCAATCACAGGTCTAAAGTTAACAAATCTTCACTTATTTATTGTACTGATAGAGATAAAATTTCACTACAATTAGAAATTTGAAATAATAATTTCATTAATCATTTACAAGTAAAGTACTTTCCACATTTCAGTAGATTGAGATGTTTGTCATCCTACAGTTTTGTGAGTTGTTAAATGCCTCACACACAGTTTAATTTTGACCATTGTTATCTGTGCAGTCTTCATGCATCGCTTTCTTTTATCTCCAACCATTAAATAAAGCCTGACTTCACTTTTCTGTCCCAAAACCACCCACCCAGCCACCTCTTCTACTACCATTTGATCCTCTCCCCTGATTCACGTGGTCGCCAAAATTTCTTTCATCACCTCTTCTCACTAAACATTGTGGTTGAGTGGTTAACACTCCTGCTTCATATTTTGGAGGTCCCAGGATTAAATCTTGGCCTGGAGGTGAGCTATTCTGATGGGGTTTTTGTGGGTTTTTTTAGTCCCTCAGGCAAGTGCCAGGATAGTACCTTAAATTAGGCAATAATGCTTCCTTCCACATCCTTTCCAATCACTATCATCCTCTCATTCAATGCTGTTTAGTCTGAGCTACTGAAAAAGCAGTTAAATAAACTATAAATAAATCGAAGATTTCCATCTTCTGGGTTGTTACGCTGTGTAGTCTGGTCGATATTAGCCAACGTTTCAGAGGTCATACTGCCTCTGTCATCAGGGCGATGATATCGACCAGACTACACAGCGCAACAACCCAGAAGATGGAAATCTTCATACTCACCGCTGTGAGAACCTCAAGTCTTACATATAAATAAATCACTTCTTCTCCTCAATACACACTCAGCGCCAAATCGATAACAGCTCACTGTTCCACTTTGCCAATCAGTTCTGTCATATCCCACTTGCCCCCTACCACCCGCCCTACATAAGGGTTTCAAAAATGGCCAAGCAGCACATATTAACCCTGAATATTTTAGCTGCAGTGTTTGCTGAAATGTTGGATAACTTTCAACGTGGCTCATTCCTGAAGGCTGAATTTTTACACAGAGTATAATTACTGGGCATGCAGTCTTTTAGACGGTGTGTACTCTTATATGACATTCCCCTATCAGATCTTACGTTGGATATAGTCAAGCGCTGAAATAAATGAGGTTCTATCATTTTGTAACCCAAAAGTTTTCAGTGCCAGATTTTTTCAAAAGCACAAATGCACTATGTAACTACAGTGAAACCTCTATCTATCGTTCCCGGAACTATCGTTTTCCCGGATGCATCGTCCGTTTTGTTCGGTCCCGAATACATCCCATATAAAATAATGTTACATTTTCCCGCTTCTATCGTTCCTCGAACTATCGTTTTATCGCATCGATCCTTAAAAAATCTTAGTCCCAGCACACAATTTTCCCGCAATGATCGTTTCTGAGAAATTGTAACGAAATTTACGTGATATTTTTAGAATTTAATTCCGAAAGACGCACAATGTTTTTGGAATACGCAGTAGCGGTAACCTGTTATGTCGCCCAACCAGCACA